ACACACACACACACACACACACACACACTTGCGCTCTCTAGTAGAAAACTGGTTGCCTCGATAAACTAATATTATTATTATTGCATTGGTGTCAAAGTATGTCTCAAGATGCCCCGAAAGTAACACCAAGGGGGCTCTCGTGGCCTAGAGGTTAAGATGTTCGCCTCTCGTTCAATAGGTCCCGGGTTCGCAACCTGATACCAACGGAAGTTTTTTTTCTCTCTAAAATGTTATCCTTTCCCCTCCTTTCCTGCTCTCTAACAATGTTCTGTCGTCTGCTTTCGTCGCCACTTTCGGCTTCCCCCCCACCTTTTATTTGCCCGCTCCTCTGGGCTCCTGTCTCCTTCTGCAACTTTTTTACTGCTGTCTTTAAGCCATACCCCTTGATCTCAGGGTAGGTAGGATCTAGCACCTAGTCTTCTTGGATAAGGTCGAAAAATCTCGGGAGAACTGTATGCAAGTTGCGCACGTTAAAGATCCCTTGGTGGGTGAAAATCGATAAGTGTAAGCTCCGGCCACCATCCGGGCAAACTTCAAAATTAATTCCTACCAAAATTAAAATGTTTAATGTGTCTCGCGCACTCATATGCAGTTACGAGAGAGGCAACACACCAAAACAAAGCGAGTAACGCCAATTAATGGCCCCAAGCTTTCTGCAATAGATATGCGAAAAAACCTTCACCGTGAATGAGCCTGACCGAGATATTAGCCATTGTTCTGTCCCCGCGGTTTTAAGCAAAAGAAATTCTGAAATTATGCAAACGGAGCCCAAAAATGTGAAATTGTGCGATTCTGTTAATTTTAACAAAGAATGATGAAGGAAAATAATCGGAAATTATGCAAAAAATAGGCCTGATCAAATTCTGCTAATTTATGCGGGGTGCATAAAACCTCGGGGGCAGATTGTTTCGTCATCAACCGAGCGTGAAACTAAAACTCCTGCTCAGAAAGCAGATAAGTGGAATGTGACTCGCTGTGTTTGTGCTTTTAGTGTGAGCCTATTTTTCCCCCTTTCATTTACATGTCGTACTCGTGTCAATATGCAAGTGGGTGGTTGGCGGGTGCTCTGGTGGGGCTTGCTCTTTCTTCCCTATCAAACATGTGTAGCCCATATCTCTCCTCCTCCTCCTTTGTTGTGTTTGTTACTCTCTTGTAACACCCTTAACCTCCGGCTCTTTTATGACCTGATTTTGTTACAAGTGCCGTAAAACTCTTACTAAAACTAAAAGCACTTTTTACTTTTCACACAATGTATTTTCTCTACGAAACAGACGTTTTTTAGTTCTGTCTCGCCTGAGTTTCGTGTAAGTCTGGGAAATTCTCAAAAGTCTAATAAGCAACGTCCCCTCTAGACATTTTCACTATCGTTACGAGAAGTAGCCATGCAGCGCTCACAGCTGTAAAAAAAATCATGGACCCCATGCTTTTAAAATCCTTTTATACGTGTAAATATACATATATATATATATCATTTTGTTGTTTCTATTGTTAAGATTGGACTCGTTTTATTGAAAGTATTCCTCTGCTTTTGTAATTGTTGGTTTTATTTCTGAGGTAGCCTACATTTTAAGCTGTCTCGTAAAAACGAATAATATAATGATGTAGTCGGCAAGCGGTTGAAATGTAGGTTACATGGCCCAGAAAGCATGAAGTTTTTTAGGAGGGAGACAAAAACTTTTTCTTTTTTTTAACAATTGTACCTCTACATTATGTATTATTGTGTTTTTTTTTCATGCATTTTCAACATTTAGAATTTGAATTTCGACAAAAGAGCATGCAATCATTTGGCCTACCACAAATTAGGAAACTGCATTAATTTTAAAAAGAATTTTTTTTTAATTCAGAGTTTAAACTTAAATACACCAGAACTGATGGCCGACGACATCTTTGAAAAATTGTCCCTTTTTTCATTATAGTTATAGAAATCTTATATCTACAGGTGCCTTTTTGGTCCCTTTTCTAGTGGCGATGTTGCTGTGTGGGTGCCCCCTCATGTTGATAGAGACGGGGTACTGTCAGTACTCGCATCTCGGACCGGGCAAAGTCTGGGAGATCTGCCCGCTGTTTAAAGGCACGTTTTGTTGTTGTTGTTGGTGGTGGTGGTGTTGGTGGTGTTGGTAATGTTTTTGTCGTTGTTATTGTTGTTGTTGTTGTTGGTGGTGGTGGTGGTGGTGATGGTGTTGTTGTTGTTGTTGTTGGTGGTGGTGGTGGTGGCGGTGGTGGTGGTGGTGGTGGTGGTGGTGTAACTGTTGCTGTTGTTTTTGTT